AGGTCACAAAAGACCCCACAACAACATCCAAAGAACTGCAGGCCTCACTTGCCTCAGTTAAGGTCAGTGTTCATGACTCCACCATAAGAAAGAGACTGGGCAAAAATGGCCTGCATGGCAGAGTTCCAAGACGAAAACCACTGCTGAGCAAAAAGAACATAAAGGCTCGTCTCAGTTTTGCCAGAAAACATCTTGATGATCCCCAAGACTTTTGGGAGAATACTCCGTGGACTGACAAAACAAAAGTTTAACTTTTTGGAAGGTGTATGTCCCATTACATCTGGCGTAGAAGTAACACAGCATTTCAGAAAAGGAACATCATACCAACAGTAAAATATGGTGGTGGTAGTGTGATGGTCTGGGGCTGTTTTGCTGCTTCAGGGCCTGGAAGACTTGCTGTGGTAAATGGAACCATGAATTCTACCTGTCTACCAAAGAATCCTGAAGGAGAATGTCCGGCCATCTGTTTGTGACCTCAAGCTGAAACGCACTTCGGTTCTGCAGCAGGACAATGATCCAAAACACACCAGCAAGTCCACCTCTGAATGGCTTAAGAAAAACAAAATTAAGACTTTGGAGTGGCCTAGTCAAAGTCCTGACCTGAATCTGATTAAGATGCTGTGGTATGACCTTAAAAAGGTGGTTCAGGCTTGGAAACCCTCCAATGTGGCTGAATTACAACAATTCTGCAAAGATGAGTGGGTCAAAATTCCTCCACAGTGCTGTAAAAGACTGCTGCTAAGGGTGGCCCAACCAGTTATTACGTTTAGGGGGCAATCACTTTTTCACACAGGGCCCTGTAGGTTTGGATTTCATTTTCCCTTAATAATAAAGATCTTTGTTTATAAACTGCATTTTGTGTTTACTTGTGTTATCTTTGTCTAATATTTGAATTTGTTTGGTGATCTGAAATATTTAAGTGTGACAAACATGCAAAAGAATAAGAAATCAGGAAGGGAGCAAACACTTTTTCACACCACTGTATCTATCTATCTATCTATCTATCTATCTATCTATCTATCTATCTATGGTTCTTCAATATACTTGACTGCTCTGTTTACACTAAAACAGAAAACAAAATAATGAATGTTAGCCATTGCTGTTGGACTTTATGCATTCTGTCCTAGAAGCACTTCAAGTCTATCGAGGGCTGCATCAAGAATTTCCTCACTGTGTAAAATGAAAGGGTATCAAGAAAGGAGAAAATGAATAATCTAGCTACATAGATTATGAGAACAGCAGGTTAACAAAGAGGAATAAATGATGGCACAAGCAGATGTTTAAACAGCTGTTGGCTTTAGCTGGCTAGTTAAGTTTTTGTCATGGCTCAACTGACGAATGAAAAACTATCAACTTTGCATAAAGCTTCTTTTTGTCTTGTCCACATCCTGAGAAATCAATAGTGAAATGATGCCATTTGGCCTGATCACATGACACATTATCAGCATTTTGATATTGTTTAAAACAATTTATTTTGGCAGTGTGTTTTTTTGCAAGTAGAAACACTATATACCAATAGAGTAAATACAAATAACCATAAATATGGTACAACAGAGTCTTTCAAGGACTCTTTCAATTCCATCAGCAGCAGCATCTGATGTAATATAATGAAGGACTGATAAGCTGAAGCAGGTACTGTAAATACTGAACTTCCTCCTACCACACTCACACACATTAAATCAAAATTGTTTATTTGCATTCATTCTAAAGTTTTCTGAACAAACAAATTCTTACTGCTCAGATAAATGGCTTTATATCTCTTTTTCTCAGATGTCTAAGACTTTTGCACAATATATCTGGTGCCATACATCTTGTTAGACATTACATATGATTTTTTTGTATTATATATAATTTTGTATGTTGATAGACTGGTACAGTGTGACCTCCCAGCACTTGGCTATAACTTGTTATTGTGGTCATGTCTAGCCTTGAGTGAAAGGCCCAAAATAGACTTGTCAGGGCACAAGTGTGTGTTTGTGATCAGCCACTCTAGCACACCCTTTTATCCAATTAAAATGCTTCTTCTTTACCCTTCCAAATTTCATTCACCCCGCTCTCTCTATCTACTTTCCTTCTCTGTGTCCCACCTGGCCACGCTCAGCTGCCTTTTGCTGCAGTTTGAGGTTTATCATTAAACCACTGGCGGCGATTACCTTAATCCTCCGTGAGCTAGAGACTGTGTTTCGGAATGAATGCAAATGAACCGTTGGATGTTAAAGCTTGGAGCTTGAGGGCTCTTCCTCCTCCAGTTCCTCTACACTGCAGGTGTATATATATATATATATATATATATATATATATATATATATACCACCCAGCTGAATTTGCTCATTATGCACACTAAATGAGAGCTGGCGGGCTGGGTTCACTGAGTTGTTGTTGTGCCTGCACTATAATGTATGCAGAAATTCAGGCTAATGACCTGTGTGGGTGAACATGACCTCACTCTGTGTGCTCCATGCAGGGATAACAGTAGAGACTTCACACGACTGTTTTAGTATTTATTGTTTATGGCAGGAGTTCTTGATCTTTGTCCAATAGAAAATAGCCTCATGGGTGAAATGAACTAAGCGGCTGTGGGGGTGACTGAAACATATGCCTTTGAGAACGAGTTTAATTTAACTAAACAAACAACGTGATGTTTTATTTTTATGGTATGCATGCAGATGCGTGTTCTGCGGCATCACTATAAATTTTATGTTTCCCCCCATAGATTTGCTGGAAGAAAATTTTCTTTCTTTCTCTGTCTCTCTCTCTCTCTCAGCTCATTTGAAGATAGCTTTATTTTCATGACAGTATCAAATAAAATATTGACAAAGTGTAATAACGCCTGTAACAGCATCAACAATGACAATAATATCATCAACAACAACAATAATCACAACATCTATAGTTATGATAATTTCATAATGCTCTCTCTGCCTCTCTCTCTCTCTCTCTCTCGCTCTCTCGCTCTCTCTCCATTCAGCTCATTTGAAGATAGCTTTATTAGCAGGACCGTAGCAAATAAAATATTGACAAAGTGTAATAACGCCCATAATAACAACAATGACAGTAATATCATCAACAACAAGAATAATCACAATATCTATAGTTATGATAATTTCATAATTTCTCTCTCACTCTCTCTCTTTCTGTCTCTCTCTCCCTCTCTCTGTGCTCAGTACTGAGTTCAGAGTTAAGTAACTGGATGAACTGTGGCCTCCTTTTTACAGTTGACACAGCAGTTTTGAACGGAGATATGAAATTTCTCTAAGAGCTGGGATCGCAAACATCAACATCTCCTTTCACTTGTACATGCTAGTGTCGTGCGTGTCTGTGTGTGCGTCTTTGTATGCGCTTATGAAAGAGAGAGTGCATGTGTGCATAGCTGTGACAGTGGGCAGAGTGCCCTTAGAATCTCTCACCATTCCAGCCCCTCATGGTGAACGTGTGGAATGCTTCAGTTTAGTCTTTAATAATCACCTTCACTTCAGGACAGTGTACTTTCGACCCAGAGCACACATACAGGCAATGTTTTCGTATTCATGTTCATTAGTCACACGCAAGTCCTTATTTGTGAGTTCAAAGGGTCTGTTTTACAGAACTGAGGTTTACTAAAGAACAGGCAAAAAAAAGAAAACCAAGGATGTTAAAGTGCTTCAGTGCATGTGTGAGATGAATACATATACTGCTCTAATTTAGGTCAGAAGAAAAGTAACTTATCCTCTTTAATGCTCAGGATGTGGTCTAGCTTCCATTCCATACTTTTAGTAGTCAGTTTGCTTGCTTTCCTTGTAATTACTGAATAATAAATCTAATGATATAACAACTCTTTGAATTTAAGGGAATAAGTAAAAAAAGAGCATACAAGATAATATAATCAGTTAAGATACATGCTTAAAAATAAAAGCTCTTACAGTTCTTGGCTTGGATGTGTGATTCTACCTGTGCAAAAAATAAACGTACTTAAGTACATCAGTAGTATGTTTGAAGTACATAAAGGATACAAAAAATTGATTTTTCTTTCATTTAATGTATTTTAAGGACATGCCCCTAAAATACACTTTTCTGCATTTTTGAAAAAAAAATATATATTATACTTAAGCATGCCATAAGAAATATACTTAAATAAAAGCATTTCTTAACAAACTGAAGCGTGCTAAAACAAAAATGTGTTTGTCATCAACTTTGGTGTATTATTTAAACGCATATTTCAAAACAATGACTTTTAAAGCATGCTTTGGTACATTTATGTTGCATTTAAGTTGCAATATAGTTCATTGTGTGGGTTTAGTTTGCAGCCTCTCTAATATAAGACAGGTGTGGACAGGTTGTGATACCTGCTTTCTAACTTTATTTTCCAGGATGATATTTCTGCATTCAACAGGCTTTATTTGTGAGGTATTTCTTCTTCTGAAATGAAGATGGACAGAACTTTCTGTCTAAGCACGTCCACCCACAGCTTATCATAAACAGAGGCACTGAGTGGAGGAGATAAAAGACGCTGGAAAGGAACCCCACTGCATTTACTGATGTTTTTTGGCTGCAGTATTTCTTATCTTATTATATCTTTCTCTGCTCCGTAGTCCTATTACACAGAGTGCAGTCATGCTGTGTATGGAGTGCCACCCCAACCCATGTTTTCACTTCTCTCTTTCCTCCTGCTCTGCCAGGGCCAAAGATAAGGGCTATACCGACGAGCGTTACCACTATTGCACCTTGATTTCAAGGCAAGCTTCCTGCCAACTGTGTGTTATTCTAACCTCAGTGGAGCACCTAAAGTAAACTTTGAGAAAGGTCAAGAGTCAAATGTTAACGGAGATGACCCAGTGCAACACTTAAAGTAGCCATGAACCTTTGTTACACTATATGAATCACATATAGAAGTGGATATCTGAAAAGATCATATTGTACAAACAGTATATTTGGATCATTTTACCGATTATTTTGGTTCAAGGTCAAAGTTCAAGCACATTTCAGACTTTTAATTGAACTGGACTTTAGACTAATCTAATTTAATCACTTCTGTGCCTTTTGGTTAAGATCAAGTGTAGTATCTGTTCCTATCAGTTTAATATCTGATACGTCCTCTGTATGAGGACTACATATTAAACTGATTTTTAGAACAGTGAGATGGAAGAGGAGCTTGCTCCGTCCACTCCACGCATCAACCTGGTATTGCAGTACCTCCAGGAACGGTGCACCTAATTTTTTCTAGAGGGCAATTGTGGGCTGGAGGTTGGGGAACCAGCCTTGTGATTGGAAGGTTGCTGGTTCGATCCCCTGAGCTGACAGGACATGTCTGAAGTGCCCTTGAGCAAGGCACCTAACCCTCCACTGCTCCCCGGGTGCTGTGGTTAGGGCTGCCCACCGCTCTGGGCATGTGTGCTCACTGCCCCTAGTGTGTGTGCCTTCATGAGTGTGTATGTGGGTATTTTACTGCACAGATGGGTTAAATGCGGAGGTGAATTTGCCCGTTGCGGGATTAATAAAGTGTAAGTTAACTATATTTACCTTAACATTCCATTTTGTTACTACCAAAACAATCATAACAGTGAAAAAACTGTTTCAGTAGTGACAATTTTAGCTAATTTTAAGCAGAGCTCAAAAACACTAGCCAGTACATGACTAGCAAACACAGCTTTGAACAGTTGTACACACATAAAATCATAATATTTGTCATTAAAACACAAAATGTTTACTTAATGCAGAAAATATATGTTTCAGTAGTGACAGTTCTTAATGTTACACACTGTTTTTCAGACTTTGGGATCTAACTGCTCACCATGTGGCCATGAGGGACAGGGGTGCTGTCTCACTTTCTGTGGGGTGTGGCCAAAATAAGGCTCCACCCATGAACTAACACTCTTTGTTTTGGTAGTGACATGAAAACATGAGATAGCATTTTTACAAGTATTTTTATTTAAAAATTCCACTCATGATAAATCTAAATCTTTCAACCTTGCTTTTAAAGAGATCAGTGGCTGAAGTGTAGCTGCAGGCATGCACTCTCAGCCAGATGCACTCTCAGCCCCTGTGACGTCACATGTGCATGCAAGCGGCCCAATGGGATGTCAACTTTTGGCTGCTTCATCACTTGATCCATTTTCCGTACACAACACAGCTAGAGAATTCCATTAAATGCGCTTCCCTGTTGAAAAACAGGTGTTGGTGTCCAATATTCACTTGTCTTCTTGATAGGTTGATATCACAGTGTTAAGGGTTCTAATGGTTTAACAGGTGTTCTGAAACTGATTATAAATGCCTATAAATAGCGTGCATGATTTTTTTTTGCTAATAAACCAGACAGAAGGTCTTATCATCGTGGTAGGTTTTATTTTGTAAATTATCATATTTAATTCCATCATTATCAGTGCAACAAATCTAAAATCCATTCAGTGTAATTCCCAACAGAAAGTACCTTATAAATGTTTTTTGTATATGTTTTGCTTGCTATTACTACTACTATTGCCTAGTTTAACATCGGGAGGTTTTATAAATGGGCCTAGCACCAGACACTATTATGGTCAAACAATGACAAAAACATAACTTTTATTTCAGCGGGCTTGTTTACTTTTAGTTCAGTTCCAGACTCATCTTTAGCTTTTTCACTTCTGTGTACAATTCTCTATAGGTCACTAACAATTGTGTTGGTTTTTAACACATTCCTGCACCAGCTCAGCCTAGTATATCATCAAAATCTTATCATATGTTGCTCTTTTCAAGAAAATTGCATTGTTCTGGCAGGGAAGACTAATCCTCCACAAAGCCTAAATAATAATAAAGTTTAATCTGGTCTCGTTTGTCTGTAAATGTCCTTTGAATCCAAAACCACCTAATGTCAACATGTAAATCACTAGTGTTTAACACTGACCAGTGTTAGCTGAGATGAAGCTGAGATGATTTGTACAATTTGTACAATTTTCTTGTACAAGCTTGAGGTCACTATGTCCATGCCAAACATAAGCAAAAAAGGGTAGAAAGCCTTGCAGCGATGGGCTGAGGAGCAGTGGGACACTGTTCTCTGGAGTGATTAAGCTCTATCCAATAGCTTTGTGATGAGTTGGAGTGGAGTCTGTGATCCAGAAATGATTATTTAACGTCAGAATAAACCACAAATTCTCACAGCAATGTTCCAACATCTAGTGTAAAGTGTTTTTTTTTCACTAAAGGGCATAAACAGCTCCTTTACTGCAGCTATCCAGCTATTCTAAAATTTCTCCAATTAAAAAAAGGCAGTATGTATTTGTATAGCAGGTGAAATGGCCAAAGCACACAGTCTCTGCTGCTCACAAAGAGGATGCCTGTGGGGGTTTAACTGTGGCACATAAAAATACCACCTTATCAGTGTTGTCAAGGTGACATTTCACAGAGCCTCAATAGAACCCTTGATAGATGGCTTTGACCCTCCTCACAGTTCATAAGAATGCCACTCAGAATCCTTGACCAGTGCATACACGTCATCTTCCAAGACCATGAAACAATGTGCTTAATGACTTGACTGTAGAAAAAAGTCTGGATTGTTAGATCATCTAAACAGTTGCAAACAATATCTCTAAGGATCATAAACTGTAAGAAGCTTTGTTTAAATTGTAAAGCAGTGTTTTTCATTTGCATTGCATCAAAAAGTGAGTACACAACTCCAATATGGTCACAGTGTTTCTATAAAGGAATCAGTAAGCAGGAAATATTACTGTAGACTTTATTATCAAAACAAATGGCAATGCAGCCTTTAATAAACAGAGTTGAATGTTGTCATTGTAGTTATTCCTAGGCATACTGTCAATACTACTGCTAATAATAATTGAGCACTTTTCATGCCTATGGCAGCTTAAAATCTTTTACAGATCGGTGATAAAGCTTAAAAAAACAGTATTAATTTAAAAATTATATAAGAAAAGAGATGTAGAGTTTTAATTAAATGCTGAGTTAAAGAGATACAATTTTAAATGTTTAAAAGTGTGCACTGAGCTTGACTGTCTAATAGAAGGTGGGACTGAGTTCCCCAGTTTAGAAGTGTAATACCTAAAAGAAGCCTCTTCATGTTTTCTGTATTTTACTGAAAGTATCTATAGAAGGTCAGTATCAGTATCTGTCCACGCTTACACATTTCTTTCACAAAAATGAACAGATAAATGAAACTACTGAAAAGTTCTTTAGGTAACCAAAAGTGGTTCTTCTATGTATTAGTATTTTCTAGGGAAAATACTAAAATGTCCTGGGCAAGAGGGGGTCCAGGCTTAGGAAACACTGTTCTGCAGCTCTGTGGCATTGCTGCTTTTTGGCAGTTTTGTTTTAAAGAGTGTGGGGTATCTCCAGAAATCATAGTTGTAGTTCACAGCAGAGTTCAGAATACAGGCAGAGAGTTACTGTAGGTCTGTCCTTTAAAAAACAAACAAAAAAACAGGCAGAAACAAGCAGGAACATGTTAAAACTGGAAAAATACCAGAACAAACCAGAAACCCAGGAATTTGGATGAGGGAACTCGGCTTATAACATGCACACAAGACTTCACAAAGACAAACAAACTCAAACCACAGGCTATTTACACAAACAGACATAACAAGACACAGATGAATGCAATGATTAGTGGGTGGAGCCAGAAAGTCGCAAAACTGTACAAACTCTGAAAATCTGTAACTTTTTTCTAATGCCTGTATTAGAGAAAAAGAGCTCAAGCTGTTATCTGTGCCTTTTTCCACTACACAAACAATAAAGAGGCGCAGTGTCCTTCAGGTGAAGTTAAGAGAGGAGGAAAAGGATCAGCCTTTGTAACCGGCACAAGGTTCGTTTTCTAGAATTAGTCAGATTGTTCTCATTAGGGATAGCAGGTTCTGAAGATTCAGACATTCAGTGTTCTGACATGCTGTCAGTCTCATCTCAGATTTATCACCAGATTACAGTAAGGATTGTCTGTAACGACACAGATTGGTAACCAGCAGAGACATTGTTGCGGATTTTAATAAAGGCCATCTCATGAGTTTAGGATTAATTTCAGAAAAAGGTTAATTGCTACGTTTTTATGGGTCATGGGCCCACATCTGCGCACCAGAATTGCTGAGATCATCCGCACTATCTGTAGTGACATCCAAAACTGGAGAAGGACAATAATCCGGTAATGTATATTTAATAATGAATCTTAATAAAAGAATATTGCACCATTTTTCATGTGGATTGAACGTCATTGCTATTACGCATAATATCATTACTTTTGAGTCAGTGCTCTCTCTCTCTCTCTCTCTCTCTCTCTCTCTCTCTCTCGCTCTCTCTCTCTCTCTCTCTCTCTCTCTCTCTCTCTCTCTCTGATGGCTTGTGCAGTTATACCTGGTTTAGCTGGTTGCTAAGGGCTGTTTCTGTACCCTGACATCTGTCCTAACTTAATTGCCTGGATTTTTATGCAGTGCTGTAAAAATGATAAATATTGATCTGTGTGTTACACTGCAGACTTGCAGGTTTCACAAGTCTATGTGTGTGATATTGTGGCCATAAGAAAAGTCAACAAGATCACCCCTTAAAAAGGGGTTAAGTGAGAATGTTCAAAAGATCTTATGACACTGACATTTTAATATAACATATTTAATGTAAAATGCAATTTCACCATGCTGGAAAGTTGTCATAATGTTAAATGGGTTTATATTGTAGACTGCATTTACATTGTATCACATGACATCAAAAGCCAAACTTAGACTGCCCCAGTTTTCTGATTATATAAATGTACATTTTTAAAGGGTCAGATTTTCATGGTTTATTTTACTATTTTTATTTCTGGAAGTCTTTGGAAAATGGAATGAGTGGATTTCCCAATGTATATCTTTCATAGACAATGAATTCCAGGTAACACTTTGATGAACAAGAACTGTTGTGAGAAAAGTGAGGCAGCTGAATATGGGGAGGTGACTGAAGTTAATTGAGAGATAATTAACAGGACTAACACACTGTGCTAGTAAGTTATGACGTTACTTCTTTATATAAGTAAACATTCTTATTAGTTCATTAACAATGTAATAAGTAACAGTTAGACCATAGATAATGAGTAAGTTATCCATAGGTAATCCACAGCACACCGGAAGTGAGCCACAGCCCAACAGAAATGTTTCTGGAAGATTCTAGCTATGTCTGAAACTGTGCCCTTTTCGCTATATAGTTCACTATTTTGGGACTCCAACATTTTTTTGTGGTGTCTGAAAACATAGTGCAGAAGATGTGCAC